CTGATAATCAAAATAAACTGCCATAAAGATGTCGGTAATCTGAAGCCACAATCATTGGTGCGCTATCAAATCTTCTAATTTTTAGAACTATATATTAGATAAGTATGACAATGAATTATAATTGTATTTCTGTACTCAAAGTGATCTTTCTATTAAAAAGACTACAATTATGAAAAAATCTTGGAACAAAGTGATCCCTCGGAAACATTGATCATAACACAATTACATGAAAATTGTAGACTTGGTTTTATTGAGTATGTACATGAGGGATTATGAATAAGTGAAACATTCCTCACGCCGTCTAGCACCGGCTTGAACGATACTCAATTCTCAACTCTAAATAGTGCTGGCATCAATGATCTCGAAGGACCAGCAAAATATAACAACACTGAGGTGAAGTACGGCGCAAATTTTTGCAGCTGCTTTTGTGAATTAAAAAAATCTGGAAACAAAGTGATCCATTGGAAGCATTTATCGCAACAACATTACATGAAAATTGCAGACTCGGTTTGATAAAGTCTGTACATAAAGGATAAAGAATAAGTGCAACATCCCTCACGCCCCCCCCTAGCACCGGCTTGAGCGGTACTTGATATTAAATGACATACACTTGTAAGAACTAAATGATGATTATTGCAGTCCTAATTTTCTAAGCATTGGATGATTTGACTGTTTAAACATATAAATTCTTTAGTAAGGCTGCCTTGAATGTTTTTATTGCACTCGCATACATTTATATCAAATAGAAAACCTTTGACTGTGTCAATTTATTTGTTACTATCAATTACTAAAATTGCCACTGTCCTTTTATTCCTTTGATTATAGCTCTCTTTCATTCATTCCACTGTTTTGTGGCTTCTGATTTTTTGTAGGTTAACAATGATGAAAGGATTGATAGATGCATAGATGGATCGTGTCTGTTATTTAAGAAATGTCTTAGTTTATGTCATACTCCTTTATTGAAAAGTGGACTTAAGTTTTTTATTCTATGGGTACAGAATGCACAAACAAAGTACTGTTTTAACAATATTTAATTATTAAACGAACGAACGAATAAATGCTTGAAATATGTACAAATAAGAAATAAAAGATATATTTCCAATCACTTCATGCCGGAAAATCACAAAGGAGTCCAATTCAGTGTCTATTTGATGGTACAATGTATCAGATTTTAAAGGACTTCACTGAAAATTTATGACAATACGGGTCTGGAAAATGTTTAGATTTTTTGTGCAACTTGTAGATTTATACCAATCACTTGTATGCAAAGTTTGATATCGTTCGGTCACATTACTTTTCAAAACTAGCCAATTATAGTTTGCATAATGACATAAAAGTGAGCAAAGTTTGAAATATGGGTACAGAATGCACAAACAAAGTACTGTTTTAACAATATTTAATTATTAAACGAACGAACGAATAAATGCTTGAAATATGTACAAATAAGATATAAAAGATATATTTCCAATCACTTCATGCCGGAAAATCACAAAGGAGTCCAATTCAGTGTCTATTTGATGGTAATATATATCAGATTTTAAAGGACTTCACAGAAAATTGATGACAATACGGGTCTGGAAAATGTTTAGATTTTTTGTGCAACTTGTAGATTTATACCAATCACTTGTATGCAAAGTTTGATATCGTTCGGTCACATTACTTTTCAAAACTAGCTAATTATAGATTGCATAATGACATAAAAGTGAGCAAAGTTTGAAATATTTTTTTCCAAGTCGGACTAAGAATGGCACTCATTATCAACTTAATTGTGGGTATATTCTTTTATTATTTTGCACATTTTTACGAGTACAGCGTCCCAGTTGATTTGTGTATGGTTCTCAAATGTGATGGATTTTAGACAACATAGGAGTTCCTTTAAAGTCATGTTCAATTTAAATCTTAGACTAACCTTTCCCAATCAACACTCACTTTTTTATTTCTTCATTTATAACATTAACCTAACAGATGAGTATGTAATGGTCATTTAAATTGATACCACCATACTTAAGTATTTTTACTTTATATATGTCAATGCTGATTTTATCTGTTTATTGATTAATCTATCGGACAATGCACCTATATTAGGTTTTAGGGGTCATGCACGTATAACGATTAAAGAACAAAACAGTACAATGTATACTCATTATGTAAATAAAATAAGACATCATTAAGTACACTTGTAATGAATTAATAATAAATAACGAGCAAAGGTTCTATATGCAACAAGGACACAACAAAATAACCGCACCTACGACATTTGAGTATAATTGACATCACCCATCATTTCTTTCATCACTCCATCATGTTTAATCCTTTAATACTCAGGGCGGCTTAAACAACAGTTTTAAGAATCAAAGAGAATAAAAGACCTTTTTACGTAACAACCGAGTAAAGTAACATTGCTCAGTAAAGGAAAAAAGAACCTACCCAAAGTTTATTTATTTAATGTAGGAAAACGTAAGATAAGAATTAGATGGAAATGGCCCCAAATGCTGCGTGACCGAAATATATTAAACAATTGCCGTATTTGAAATGATACCTTTGTCCACATAACAAGGCCTGTACAACATTCTACTAACGTATGAACATTTAAAGTTTAAAATCAAAACAACTGAAATTGTATTCAGCATGTTACATTATCAGAGATATATAACGAATTGAGGTGTTTGTCAACTTGACTTATATTGATAACATTTCATAAATGAATGATTTTTGTGTCATTCATCTGCCAACCACTCATTTGTTTTGTAGATTAAGCTGACCCAAAGGTGACAGTCCGTCAATTATCATAAGGAGGAACTTACGACCGCTGTTAACATAATGCACTTTGCCAAAAAGTCTATTACTGGTTGCAGTTGCCATAGGTTATATTATTATAATTAAGGAAGTACTGGACACTATGTGGTTTAAATAACTAAAACACATAATAAATTCTAAAATATTTTTATTTTTAACGAGGGTTTTTAATTTTATTAAATTGCTAGGTTTATATAAGTATATAATTAGTCCAAAGTTTCACTCCAGTCCCATCCAAATAAATAAATAAAAAGAGAAGAATGAAATAATAAAAAGTGATAAAATGACACTGATGCATGTTAAAAATTAGTTTGTCTACTTGTTCAAAAAAGTATTAATCTTATTATGTGTACGAAATTCTACCATGGAACCACCGCTCACCCGTTTTTACTTTTTAAGTTTTGATGTCCACAAAAGTGTTTTAAATGTCTTTAAGTATCATTTAAGTACTTACTGCATAGTTAATACGTCAATTGTCAATTATGCGTGATTGTTCTATCTATCTACATATTTTGTAAAATTCTAAGTTTATATTACTTCATATATGCTACAGTATTCAAGCTAGAAGCCAACCTTATCTCAATTATGATGCCTACAGTACCTGGAATCTGGGTCACAAAGTGGCATTTTTGGCTCAGTGGTATGATGCATTGTGACATTTGGTTTGCAGGCCAGGAGTCTGAGTTCAAACCCGTCAGTTGATTGACAGATTGCCACCTTGCGGTTAGCAAAGAGTGTAAAACAAAAGAGTTGTTAATAGAGATGATTGACGTAAACATCGTTCATTTATGTAATATATTCAATACCTGTCAAGAAGACAAATGACTAATTTCGTTATACCTCTGATAAAGTAACACATGTTGTATACATCTTCTGTTTGATAGATGAGCTAGCTTTCGATGAAATTGAATAATTTGACTGTAAAGTTTATAGTTTGGTAGAATACTTAACAGAAGACATCAAGTAAATAGAAATATCATTTCACATACAATTGTCTCATTTATTCTGGTCAAATACATGTGATTTCAAGGTCACAACAAGAAGAAAAATACACAAAAATGTAAATGTCCATAGTATCTCATTTAACCAGTCTTTTTGAAGTAAAGTGTATTTGTAAAGAATCGAAGAAAAATTATATTGAACAATTGGAATAGCTTATGAAATGCAAGTTTTTGAGAAAACTGCGTTGGAATTTTATAAAATTATTCAGCAGATAAACATCACCTACTTTGACTGGCATTTAACTCAGACCGACACCTGTTAGATATCGGCTATGTTCTGTCTTTTTTTAATTTTACCAGAACACTCACCATTTACTCTCGGATGGGCATACTGTCACTTAAACACATGCAGTTTACAGTGAAATTTTTATAATCAGGTGACAACGTTAATAAGATACTAAACTAGTAGATAAAATTTCCAGTTTGTAGTGTTTTTTTGTTGTTGTTGTTTATTTCTTTTTTTGTTGTTATATTAAGGATTTGTTACAATATTACAGTAACTGCTTATTTCCAAACTTTATGTGCTGTACAAAAACAGGCACAATAATTTGTTTCAGCAATCAAACCGAGTAAAGTTAGAAACGTAAAGAACACGCCAATATACTGAACTTATACAGACAATATCAGGCTTTGTAAACAATTGCTCCTTCCAAACACCACTTATCGTACCGGATAAGAAGATGACTTTCTTATCAAAGTGACTAATTAAATAATACAAAATGTCTTTTGCTGTGAGTGAAAACTAAGCAATTGCATATAACTGCGGCTTAATTTAATAATCTTCTAAAGATTTGTATAAACCAAGAACAAAGAGTTGAAAGGTAAAATACAATCTAATATTATATTACTTTTGAAAATGCTTGTTTGCAACGATCCTAAAAACGTTCAATATTAAAAAGTTAATATCAAAATGAAACTAGTAAACTCAAAGGCAATTCATATGGATAAAACAAATACTTGGACGGAAACAAATAACAAAAAGAAAAAAATACAATAATAAATAAATAAATTCCCAAAACAATTGAATAATTTAATGAATGTATAGATGAACTTTTTTTTTCGTCGCGGTTGACGTTTTTTTGCTATTGATTAACATAGTAGGTCCTAAGCACCCGTTCTGTTGTTACGGAATGAGTGATAGATAACATATCGGGCTTTGGCCCCTTGTTCTCGGGAAGATTACTCTGATGTATATGGCTCTTATCAAGGTTGGGTTCATTAACAACGACGATGGGATTAACTTATTGTTTGCAGCTTACTATTACACAAAGGCACTTAGTTCTTTGGACTATTCTCTAGTCAGTATTATTTATTTAAATGCAGAAAACAAACGCCAGTTAGGCATAAAACCTTGATGTACTCTCTTCGTTTGTTGCCCGGTTATGGCAATAAGCGATTTGTTTGCTTCTTTATTTATTCAAAAATGCCTACTGTATTGCGTCTATAAATGGCAGTATAACAACGTGTAAAGTATGCAAGCATGTAAACATGTGAATTGTATTTTCCAATCATGTTTATAACATTTTATTTGAGTTGTGTTCAATGTTAAGTATTTGGAAGTTATATTTGAGATACGCATCAATTATAATCATGTAATTATTGTAGCAAAAACAATGTTCTGTATGTGTTTGTTTATATGTTTCAGGCATTTTCATATTTATAAATAAGAACCGTTTCTATGTAAATTTGGATTCATTCGAAATAAAATTAAACCTCATATTTTAAACATTAATAATTCTAAGTTTTGTTTTTAAGCAAAACAATACAACGAAAATGTTTGTTCATTACAAGTTGAAACGATTAGCGGTTATCATTACAGTGTTTTGTGTCGTAACAATGATATATAGATATGTATACAACAATATAATTAACATAAATGGAAACAGATTACATTCATCAAGATTATTTCTTGGCGGAGATGCAAACATATCTTCTTCGAGCGCAATCACAACGGACAAGAAGATCAGAAAATGGATATGGTATTCAAACTTTAATTTTACTTCAAAGGCATTGCCAGATGTTTCTGCGGATTCTGCATTTGATGCAATGAGTATCGTAAGTATACCCTCAAGAAAGGACCCTTTAAGACCAAGTTACATCAATTTTCAAGTTTCAAATTTTATTAGAAATTATTGTAGATAATTTGTCTTAAATGTCATTAAATATATGTTATCATAAATTAATTATAAAGGAAATACTTGTACACAAGTAACTTACTTAATACTTATCAATCAGGGAAATCCTTGAAAGGTTTAACAAGGTTACTAAGCTAATTGTTTTAGAAACCAATACATTTTGACGAAAGGTTCAAGAATCCGTGCTGGAAGGGCCAAGACAACTTTGAGCTGTTAAACGAAGAGAATGTCTATTGTTTACCTTATTTCTATCTCATAGGTAAGTATTGAATTCAATAGACAACTTCCAAAACCCATTACCTTTACTTTGCACAAAATGGAAACTGTTGATCCTCTTTTAACATTAATATAGTTACTAGCTAAGATTATGTGTTTTATAGTAAAAAACACAAACCGCATAGATTCATATCGTAAATTCTAAGTATCTCTATAACATAATATCACATATCTGAAATTAATGGAATCAGAATATGTTATGACTATATGTGCCGTATCGTTAAAAATCAGTTCCATTAATAACAAGGCATTGTTTTTAACATTTTATGCAATGACGTGTAATTCTATGTTTTGTTTTTTAAATTTATTAATAACAGTATTTACTAATATTAATATAACATCCCAGGTGTCAAGAAAAGTGGTACGACAGATTTATTTAACAAAATTTCAAGACATCCAGATTTCTGTAAACCTTCCTTTTCAAAAGAATGCCAGTGGATTTCTAGCATGCGGTTTAATGCACCAAACTACGTGCCTAAAATGAAGAAAATCGAAAAGGGTAAGTGTGGAGGTTCTATTTGTAACACGAGTGACGTAGTATGCTTTGGGCAGTGCTAGATTGACTTGATGTTTTATTTTAGTTATTGATTCAGAGTAGGGGAAAATCATAACAACGTTCAAAGGTTTAATATACCAGCAATTGCAAGTGGAGTAAATATACAGTACCGATACTTGTGTAATAATACATGTGATTTATAATATGAGAAAATGCAAGTTTCAAAGTTATATTTCTATGTGCGTTCTGATTTTCCTGTATGCCTTTATTTAAAAAAGAAATACTAGATTGTTCTTTGCTTTTTCTTTGCTATGCATTTGAAAGATTTTTTTGCAATAAATATTTTGTAGATTTATCGTATAAATTTCCATATGTTATTGAAACAAAAAGAGGTTTTACAAGCTATTTTTTTTATTCAAGACAAACGTTACAAACAGTTGTTCATCCATCGCAATATAATTGTGTTTTTATACTCATATTTTCTATTTTTGTACCAAATAAAGATATCATAAGTCAATTTATATACTCAAAGGTGATATATAATATATCAAATTGTTGGTCTCTATTTCGCTATATTCAATATTGAAACAAAATTGAACCATTACACCTTGCCAGTGTATGTCGCCTCGTGTTGTACAACGTAGGTTATGTTATGTACATGTCCATGTCATGTCTGTTGTGTTTGTTACTGTATATATCTTGTGAAGTCCTATATCTGTGTCCCTTTTCCTATATATTCCTCCATTCATCCTTTTATCCATTTACTCATAAATTCATACATTTATTAACTAGTATGTACTTAACCACTGGCACGGGCCTCGATCCTAAAGATTCTATTTCCGCACTAAGTACCTTCCCGCATGAGCACTCGTACTGAAGGTTTTCATGCCGCGAGCCAGACTTTATATTGATTGATAATAAATATTTCCTGAGAGCGCGTTTCTGCATTTTTGCAGGTAAATATGAATGACTGTATTGATCTCATAGTTGTTATTCTACATTTTGTCATTCATTATTTTGTGTCATTTGTCATGTTTTTGCATTTGCACTCGTACTGAACGTTTCATGACGCGAACCAGTCTTCACATTGTTTGGAAATAAATATTTTCTTAGAGCGCGTCTATGTATTTTTGGAGCAACTCACAAGCCCAGAACGTATTAGCAGCACCCTTCTCTCATAGTTAGAGTGAATTGCGACAAAAAGCGAACAGGGGACTTTGATAGTATAAGCTCCGAGTCCAATTTCACTTTGTTCTCTATACCCATTAGAAATTCGAGAATGAATTTCAATATAGCGCGGGGGAGTATGTCACGGTTCAGAACTGGGAGAAGATGTGTTAGCGGCCGGATAACTCGTCGGTAGAGCCGCGGTATGGTATTCCGAGGGTCCCGAGTTCGAGTCCCGGTCAGGCTGCACATTTTCCCCCGTACATTGAAAGTCATGGGATCATTCCCGATTGAACATATCTGCGTATGTTTCTTGAATTTAGCAATTACATCAAAATTCATGTTTAAAATTCACCTCAGCAAATTCACAAACTTTGACGCAACTGTTGCAAAAGTGACAGGTTTATGCATTTCATTCTTGGCGGTGATAAGGGTTGTTCTGTCAATCTTAATTTTCTTTTACACTTGTCTAAATGTATAAAACGTTAAAGCTGAAGAGTCAATTTTCAAGGACAAAACTTATTTAAGCTAATGTAAGACAATATCTTTAAAAACTGAAGAAAGAGTTTTACAGAAATCTCTCTGTTTTGTAATTTAAGATATAAAGAGAAAGGGCATTGATGTTAAGAATATTGAATTCTATGTGTCAATGTTTGATTCTGCGGCTTCTTGTATCACAAGGAACAAATCATCAACAGTATTTAATAAAGTAACAGGTAATGCTTTAACCATTCTGTTGATAAAAGTGGCAGTTTGAAATAAAATACTTACAATGCTAAAGATTGATTAGTGATTTGAATAATGGCCAACACAGCAAAACTAAAAATCTTACAGACTCCGTTTGAATCAATTTTGAAGATCGAGCTACTTTTGAATCAAACTTTTCAGTTAGGCTTACATTTTATTTAGTTTCGCCCATTGTTTTCTCCTCGTTTAGGGCACACGCATTATTTTACATGGGGACCATATGCCGCTTTTCATGGAATGGTACTTACGTGTCACATTTAAGGTTCCATGATAACCGCCATATAAACACATCTGCGAATGTTTCAAAATTCAAAATTGTACCAGTTCATTTTAAATGTTGAATTCTGCTTAAGCCGGTGCTAGGGGGCGTGGACGATAGTTTGCACTTGACAGTACCGTCCATAAACAGGTACAATCAAACCGAGCCTGCAACATTTTCAATTTTGCCGTGTTGGGCTTTCTTTAGGGAATCTTACTTTCTCTATTTTACAATTAGAATGACTTCTCTTTTGAGCTGTCCGTATGTACAGCATTGCTTACGATGAAGTTCTGCATAACATATTTATATGAAAGAAGTAGTTCGAGCCAATCGATGTATTGTTTCATGATGCATAAAAAAGGTTGTACTTTACGGGACATATTTGTGAATATCTTTTTACGCTGCACAACAATTGAACAAAATTTATTTTGTAAAAAAAAAGAAAAATATGCCTTCTCATTTCTAACAAATGCATCTGTTTATTGACTACGTCATTTTTTTAAATTAAGAATTATAATTGTATATTAGTTTGAGGTTTACACACATTTCAGGACAAGCGTCATTTTCAAGTCAGTTACTTTGTTTTTATGTTGGAGAAGGGAGAACAAATTAAAGTAACTTAAAATAATGCTTACATTTGAATTTCAGCTGACTCGAGTGTAGCGACATTATATTCACATACAAGTTGGGAGCAGCTTAAAGTTAACATGAATTTAGATGAGCCTCGTTATACCAACTTTCATTTGATAAAGCAGCTGACACCGCAGGCTAAACTTATAATCATATTTAGAGATCCTACCAAAAGGTAATTGGTGCCTTCTGATGATAATATATTGTAGTTTACACAGGAAGATAGCATATATTGAAACTAAAACGAACAAACTACACAGACTCATTTATTTAAAGAAATTAATCATAATTATTTGTTTGTACAAGCTGTTTATTTCATTTAATATGATAAACAGTTTTTACTACAACCAAGAACTTGTTTTTACAATTTAAACTAGGTACAATGATATATAAGATAAAACAGCACATTTAGTAAAAACCATTATTTACACAATTAAACTGTTTCGTTCGGATCAAAAGAAACAATTATAAAGAAGCAATACGAACAGACAAGACGATATTTTTAAAATGATAGATTATAGACTTGGTATTGTTTCATGACACAGCTCACGCCATTTTAGTTAAATTTGCTGTACACAACTATTTCCTAATATGAAATGAATATTTTTAACATGTATGCTATTTGGGCTTATTAAAAGGCTATGAAGTTATATAAGCTTTGGAGACTTATCTAGTTCTTTTTGCGTCACTTTAATAAACGACAGTTATTACTTCCTTTATATGAAATATACAGTGTTTTTTTCTGTGCAATTATCTAAACACGCTGCACAGAATAACAGATTTCTTGTACACAAATCAGTACCGTTTTTATCAGGTACTTAATATTTAGAATCATTTTAACGTATGTTTAATATATACGTCTTATATTGCTTATCTTTTCGTAGACTGTATTCAGACTTCCTTCATAATACAAGAGGGAGGTACAAGAATATGTCACCAGAAATCTTCCACAAACAAGTACAAGTTGTGATAGCTGCATATCAAAATTGTTTTAAAAGTTTTACACAAAGAAGTTGCATTTACAATAATACTATGAGACAAGACCTTTTGGCGGTATCCTTTACATATTCATAATATTTGTTTAAATGATAATTGTTATAAAGCTAAATTCACTCTTAACTGACAAGACAATAATCCTCATCACTACTTTTCCTTTAAAATATGCTTGATACATATTTTTAAAACCGCTTCTTGGGTTTCCTTTAGTGACGTTGAAAATGTGTGTTCTTACCTTATAAATTAATGTCTACATTATATATCATGCAAAATTGAAGTTATTTATTTAGTTCCGCCCATTGTTTTCTCGTTTAGGGCACACGCATGCTTTTACTTGGGGACCATATGCCGCTTTCACTGGAATGGCACTTACGTGTCACATTTAAGGTTCCATGAAAACCGCCATATGAATACATCTGCGGATGTTTCAAAATTCAAAATTGTACCAGTTCATAGTAAATGTTGAATTCTGCTTAAGCCGTTGCTAGGGGGCGTGGACGGTAGTTTGCACTTGACAGTACCGTTCATGAACAGGGTCAATCATACCGAGCCTGCAACATTTTTAATTTTGCCGTGTTGGGCTTTCTTTAGGGGTTCTAATTTTCTCTATTATATCGCCACATCAGCGTTGTTTGTCTCGTATGGAGGCTGCAAAAATCGCCCCGTACATTCATTCATGGATGTTATATTTTCAATCCTTAAAGATCGTTAAGCACAACATTATTGTTGTGCTTGTGGTAATTTAGTTCTTTTCGGCTATTTTCTTTTTGGGATGTTCCAGTATTCCTCACTTGAATACTGTTGAATCACCCTTAGGATATGTGACCTGCTTTTTAAATTTGTTTGTCTTTTGATATCTTATTTGTGATATCCCGGTGCTAAGGGGCGTGGACGGTAATTTGCACTTGACAGAACCGTCCATGAACAGGCTCAATCAAACCGAGCCTGCAACATTTTCAATTTTGCCGTGTTAGACTTTCTTTAAGGGTTCTTATTTTCTCTTTTTTAATATACTTCTAATTAAAACAAATACAAATTTGCAGAAACGTATTGAATTAGCTGTGAGTTTTACAGCTGGGTTTTATGCTGTGTATATGAAGGACTTGATAAATGTGTTTGGACAAGATCAAATAAAACCAATACTGATGACAGATTACGTGACAAAGATGGAACTGACGCTGAGAAGTATTTTCAGCTTTCTTAATTTTAGTAAGGAGCTATAGTTATCATAAAACCATCAGAAATGCTTAATATAATTGATTTGCTATCACATATCTTTTATCAAGGCAGATGCTGTTCCATTATGTAAATAACGGTCTTTAGAGGACCCACATCATTACAATTTTAGTTGAGGCAATCGCTGTTTTCGGTTTTATCTTATCTTTAAGCATAATATAAGACTAAACACTCACAATAGTAATTGTTATCATGTTGATTGCTGAAAAAAAGATACACGTGTTGGCTTAGTTACTTAACGTAAAGTAACTCATGTCTGTTAAAGCATACAATTTTTCACACATTACTGAAAGAAAGCATAATGTGTTGTCTTTTTTCTTTATTTAAGCTGAAGTTGATAATACATTAATGAATACAATTTTAAGCTGGAAAGAGAAAAATGTTTCCAAAACAAACCGAGCTTGGCCGGCTAAACAAGAGACGGATGACTTGCTGTATGAATTTTATAGATCTTTCAACGAAGATATGGCTGCATTAATGGGCGATGCAAGATACAAGTTTCCACAACAAAACTAGCGTTGAAAAACATTGATGCCCTGTACACAAAGACATTGAAACAGACATCTGCGTAGTTGCAAGTTCGTTGATGCTTTAAATTTTGACATGTCTTTGATTCTAGATTGGTCAGATGAGAAAGTTGTAGATGAAAGTAAAGTTAACGGCAAAATATTTTATTTCAATATGGAACATATTTATGTACGAGTATGAGGGAATGCTTCATTTCGAGGTATTCTGTCAAAGTATTAAACTACATTATATGTATTGACATCTTTTATTCAATAGCCGATCTGCTAAAAAATGAAAGTAATAAGATTTGAAAACAAATGTTGTTTCACATAATTATTTATTTTGAAAGCGTTGATAATCATTGCATTTCATTATTTGACAAACTTAATGGTGCCGATGAAACACGATACCTTTGTTGACAAAACAGAAGTTATTTGTAACGAATGCCTATTCAGCTTGGTGGAAAAAAATCTTCCTTTGCATGAATACTTCTTGGAAAGCAATCAAAGTAGACCGTTATTATGTTTAACAGCCATACAACCATCCATTCACATGCACACAAAGTTACGACAATATTATCAAATCTAGATCATTTGAAGCGTCAAAATTACTTATATAAACATTGAAATTATGTTTATACACCATTCTTTTTTCACTTTTTACAGCAATAAATTTAACTTGATCCAAACTTTTCAGTTTATACTGCTTTCTTTCCTAAAAAAAATGTCACATACGTTATAGCACACCTTTTGCCAAGACGTGCTTTAGCTCAACAAAAGTGGAAACAAAATCGCTCGAAACCGCTGAGTGAAACATTATACTGTATATATGCTGAATACAACTTCTTTGACGGAGAGAGTTTTCGAAAAGCTTTACAAGTTTCCTACTCAATCCGTAAATTTATTTTATGTACTTTATTATGTAAATGTATGGATTATAAATAAAATATTGTTTAAACTAACTTCTTTGAATAGTCATTCTTATTTTAAATATGCTCCTGTAAGAAATGTTTCTTTCTTTTTTCTTTCTTTCTTTCTTTCTTTCTTTCTTTCTTTCTTTCTTTCTTTCTTTCTTTCTTTCATTCTTTCTTTCTTTTTTATTATTTATCTATTTATCGAGATATAATTGTTAAACTCGTTGATTTACATGTCTGTGGAAAATATTCAATACGACACTAATGACAAAGTGCAAACTGTTTCAACAATAACAGTTATGTTTGTCATGAAGCCAATCGTTAAAAACAAACTCGAAATTTCGAGTTACTTACTCCAAATTTCGATTTACTAACTCGTAATTCCACATTAAGTCGAAATTTCGACATACTTACTCGCAATTTCGACTTAGTAACTCGTAATTTCGACTACGTTACTCGACATTTTGACATATGAACTCGAAATTCCGACTAAGTTACATTACAAGAATAGCCAACGTTATGAGTTACCAAGAGTTACCAAAAGATAATATAAGATATAGTAGGGAGTGCGGTTGAACGATGGAGATGGTGATGGAGATGGAGAAACGGGTGACTGGACAAACCATTAATTTTAAAAGTTAAACTTAAACTTATCAGTGTGATCACTTTTGACAATGGCATGTACACGCCCATTAATTAACTCGAAATTTCAAAATTTCGAGGTAATAACTCGAGGTAATAACTCGAAATTTCGCGTTAATAAAAAATACACCTGACACTTATGCTCTTCCATAGCTTAATGATAAGAATATAATAATATAATTATTAACGGAACCTATTCAGAGATATGGTCAACTTTTTGCATGCCAATTTTCAAGACGCTACTCGAAACTTCGCAAAGTGTCGCGTTGTACATTAATTAGTAAAGCTGTCAAATAAAGTTTAATCTTAAAACATTTTATAGGTTAGAACCTTAGTTTTAAGACACTTTTGATACACTTATTTGCTTTGGTACAGTATCTCGATTTATGAAAGTAAATATGCAATACAGTTTTGGTCCACCCACCATTGGTCGTTTGCAAGACTTCTTTCCCTGTATTCAGTTCCTGTAATCAGTGGCAATATTGCAATAAAAAAATTGAAAACTGTTTTAGCGACATCAGGAGACTGTTTATTCGTACCTTTTCCCTCATCTGTCGGCGATGATGGGCAATTCATTTTTACCACAAATATCTCCCATTTGGATTTCATAAACCAAATACCTGTAAAAAAATTCATTATGCCGTATAACATAACATTTAAAAAAAATGCTTAGAATGCAGCGATTTACGTGTACGACAGTATTTCAACGATTTGCCCTGATCATCTATTTTATATTTTATATATCGATGAAAACAGCTTAAATGACCAAATCTTGATTTCAGTTGGTTTTTCATCATCTATTATTTTGACACTCGAGTGAAAAATCTTCTTTTGTATTTGTTAATTCTTCAGCTTAAAATATTAATAATGTTAAATATAATTAAGTGTTAAAAGTTACTTAAACGAGTATTCAAACTTTAAAATTACAAAAATTGTAAAAAACATCATTTAAAATGTTCCTTTAGACGTAGAAAGACGTATATAAATGACAAGAGGTATTCAATTGACATATAGGTTTACATACAAGTGAAAAAGGCGAGTTTTCAAGCAAACTACTTCGATCTTCAAAGAGCCCTTCATATTTAACAAATGTTATTACATCTAGTTATTTTCATTGAAACCAATATCTTTAGTGGACTGTACAAATAGCTACGTTCATACTTAGACCTTACACACACTTTTACCTTCTTATCGAGAAGAGCAAAGCAGAACTAGAATTTCAAAGTGTCAATGTTGGGTAAGCAATATACATGTACATTGTTTGTTTAGTTGATTTATTAGTTGGTTTGTTAGTTCTATGCCGATATAAATTGTTGACTTGTTTTATCAAACCGCCTTTCAAGCATAATTTTTCAGTAATTAAACATGTCCTTGCAAGTGCCCGGTCAGTTGTCCTTCACTTATGATTACTTAATCAACTGTGAGGGACATATGTCAATTCGACTCAATGACAAAACACCTTTATGTTGATTTGACACAATATTCTTCTGTTAGTAGAAGTGTACTTTTAAATACGATTTTCACATACACTCACAACTTTCTTATTCAAAAGAGATTTGGAAACACATAAGCATGTTTTGTATACTTTAGTTTTGCTTTTTAAACAGTATTTTTCTCACTTAAATCTCCACAGTTTCTTTAGGCTACTAATTCAAACAGAGAACACACAAACCCAAGAAATGTGTTGCAATCTTAATGAATGTATTAAGTTATTTGAAAAATGGTGTATGGCAATATTAAGAGAATCTGGTTTATCTGGAATACAAAGAATTTACATAGCTACAGACAAACCTTCTATTGAAGAAGAGTATATATTGCTTGTTTCTTTTCTGTTTTTTTTTTATTTCGACTACATTATTTTGCAATAAAGACATTCATTTATTCACGTGATAGCTTCATTTTACAGAGAATACACAAATCTGTGTGTGTGGTAGTATTTGGACATTTCATATTAATAATAACCCTAGATTAAGAATGATATAAATGCCCCTCAAATATTTAGTGACGATTGTGACATATTTTAACATTCACAAACGTGACTTTTATAAACGCTAATAAATACAAATTTTGATTATGTATTTTTAGTAACTAACTACTTCAGAGTTACTTACAATAATAACACAAACGAGTTTATGTTACTTTACAGTGTACAGTCTTCCAATGAATTATGTATAGAAAGGGCCTTCATTAATACAAATTTATTTTAAACACAATTATATGTTTCCATGTTATCATCTTTTTATTAAATTACCGCTTTACATAAAATGAATTATTTTCAAAGAAAGATAATGTGATTAAATCGGTGATTTGTTCATATTTTCTTTTTTGTACCTGTCAACTGACCATTTGCATTTGGATATGCATAATGTACTTTTATATCAATATTTATGAAGCCGTTCGAAACTTACTGACATGTTAATTAGACATGTATAGTAATACAATCTTTTTTTCTTTTCTTTTATATCATAATACATAATAACCAACCATGGGAAACGTTCAAAAGCATATCTTATTAATGTATGTGTATGTTTTTCTATTTAGGTATTCCAGCTACAGCTTTTTGTTCAAACCTGGAAAAAATCAAAGCCATGCCGAACATCCTTCATTTGCGGGAACAATACTTGACGCTTATCTGTTATCATTGTGTGACTATCTTATATGCAACATGTCTTCAGATGTAAATGTCCATTATTACATTTTACAAATATTTCCATTACAAGAACAAATATAATAATATCATACATACATTTACATAGCAATCAAAATGCAGCGACCAAGCCATTATCTTGTTATTTATTACGTCAAACGGTATAATTGTTTCACTATAATTGAAATAATCAATTTCAATAAAATCTAAGGCATTTGAAGATTACATGTTTTTTGAATTTAGTATATTATATTTCAGAAATGCAGACTACCTTATGAACTTAGGCAACCTCGACACATAGATAAATCATTCCTTGTATCATCGTAATTGTAAATTACGAACATGACGAACAAAGATGTTTGTGACGCCTGTACGGAGTAGTGTCGACATATAGGGATCACTTCTCCGTCGTCTGTCTGTCCGTCTGTCTGTCTGTCCGTTTGTCCGTCCGACACAAAACTTGTCCGGACTACACCTCATAACCTACTGGCGCAATTTCATCCAAACTTTACAGGAATGATCAGTACCAAGTCTAGTTGTGCATATTGTCAGCATTTTCCGGTTCAATGATTTTTATCAGAGTTATGGCCCTTCAATAATTTTTATTTTTAAAGTTTGTCCGGACTACTTCTCTTATACCACTAGTGCAATTTCAATGAAACTTTACAAATTTGATTTGTAGCTCAAGTCCTTGCGCATATTGCACGGGTTTTTCGGTTGAATGATTTTTGGCTGAGTTATGGCTCTTTGATAAACAGGTGTTTTTTTCTGTGTGTTGCCAGATACACAAAAGCTTGTCCGGACTACTCCTCATAAACTACTGGTGCAATTTTATCCAAACTTTACAGGAATGATCAGTACCAAGTCTAGTTGTGCACTGTCCGTCTGTCTGTCCGTCTGTCACAAAACTTGTCCCAACATGAAATTGGCCATCATGACGCAACACATGTGATCAGTGATCGCTCTTGTTTTAAAAAAGTTATTAACAACATATTTTAGATTTCTATAAAACATTTTTCTACTAAAATGCAAAAAGCATTTATATTTCTTGTTAAAGGTAAAGCATTAATTTGAATCTGTATCGTTTAATGAGTTAATAGTCAACATGTTCTTTAATCCGCCCAAGATATCCAGTGATCTTGATAATAAAAAAGATAATCGATTTCTTAAAGAGTTTGTGTCAAGTGTAACACATTTAGTGTCTAAATGAAAGATCTTTACAAAATAATTGTAATGACAACAATGTGCGAAATATTAAGTGTTTTTTACTTTCGTCACGGAACTTTCCTCAGGAAATCTTGTTTAATAAGAGCCATTGCAACCAATTTGTAACACTAGAACAATACATGGGACGTACAGGAAACCAGATGTTTGAAATAGCTTCTCTGCTTGGGATAGCATTGATTTATGATATTATACCAATCATTCCTTCCAATACACTATTGAAAAGGTTTTTTAATTTACCAAATATCGCAGACAGGAAAAAATATGGAATACAAAATAAGGTTGTGCATCGATGTTCTAGACCTGCAAAAATATGCAGCATATCTAAGGAATTCGCGTCAGGGAAAAAAATATCTTTGTTTGGTTATTTCCAGTCCTGGAAATATTTTGAAACTGCTAGTAGTTTGATAAGAAACATATTCAAATTTAAACAAAGGCATGTATATAATGCCAACACTTTTCTCTCAAATGTTTCATTGAATGGTTTTGAGCGAGTTTGTTTTCATGTCCGCCGAGGGGATTTTATAAAAAAGGCACGACTTGACAAAGGATATGCCATACCAGATGTGGCTTTTTTTGAGAAAGCAAGGCAGTTTTATCTTAATAAATTTCATCGAGTTCAATTTATTGTTGTAAGTAATGAAAAGGAATGGTGTATGAAAAATATATTTAATGTTCATGTCAGTAATTTTTCAGACCCTGCAGATGATCTCGCTTTGTTATCGTTGTGTGATCATGTTGTCGTAACTCTGGGCACATTTGGATGGTGGGGTGCATGGCTTTCAGGAGGAATTACTGTTTATTTTGATTTCTTTCCACAAAATGGAAGTATGTTAGCACTAGGAACAAAGGAAGACTATTATCCACCAAGCTGGATAGGCATCCGATAGAAATATCATTTGTTTATGACGCCAAGTATTTCAGTTTTCATCCGCAAATATTTTCTTTTTTTCCTTTTTTTTATTCCTTCACTAGAAATTACGATTTTGATCCATTCTCACCAAATATATAACCATATTGAAGAACGCATTTTGCAAATTGCAAGTTTAATTATTGAATTGTATTGATAAACTAATTATTAATGGCTTCATTGAATTGAATTGTTTTTCTGCGATAAGCTAGACTATGGGGAGAATACTTTTTTTCATTTATTTCATATTTGAAAAAAACATATAAATACAATCATTCACATTTACATATAACATTTGTAACTAAATATAGAAACATATCTATCTCAATTAAATCCATATTCATGAACCATACATTCACTTGTTACAACCAAGAAGCAGACATCACAAACTCAAAAGCAAACAAACAAACGGAACAAAAGAACTTAACATTTTCAATTTTGAACAAATGAGATACGACAAAAAATCAACAAAGAAAAAATAACATAAAAATACTTTCAAAAAATAAAAGAAAGACAAAAACTTACACGCTTACATTCAAAAACTCACACACACACACACACGCACACACACGCACACGCACACACATCAACGCACGCACAAACACACACACCAACACACAAACACACGCACACGCACACACACAGAGACACACAGGCACACACAGAGAGAAGAGACAAGTGAATCAGTTTCATTTTATTTAACACGTTTTATGGTTTAATTTACATAACATTATTGTTTTTGTCATCAGAAATTATTTGTAAGCGTTAGATAGTTTGCACCATGTTTGGTTGTACGATTCAATTTTATCGTTTGGCAATGCAATTGCTTCTTCTATTTGTATCTTTAATAGCAAACAGTTTTTAAAAATATCAAAAGTTAGCTTACTTTTTTGATATTTCATTTTTGAAATGTAATGTTTCATTAGTATAATGATATGATTTACAACATTACTATTTTTATACTGGTTGTAAGCTCTCCAAAAAAAACACTGTTTCTTTACTGTTTGAAAATGAAGATTAACTGACAACAGAAAAGAATGTAAATTTGCCCATAAATTTTGCACACTATTACATTCCCTCCCAAAATATATGATGAAGTGTTTCTAAACTACTGCAGCAAAAATCACACAAATTCGAATTGCTCTTCATTTTTATTTTTACCTTCTTATCATTTTCAAGTTGGATAATATATAAAAGTTTATTTATTGTTTTGGATTTTTTAATATTATTGAGAAGCGTATCTTGTTCTTCCATATAAGTTGTGTTATTTTTTAGTTTCTCAAGGTATTGTTTTGGTATATTGTTTATTAGCATAAAGTATCTTAAATAATCGGCATTTTCTATTCCGTAAATGCTTTTAAATTCCTCATATTTATAATAAGCTTTTCTCCTATAATCATAAAGATGCTCTGTATAATGTATGCCTTTATCATGCCATGTTTTATAATAAACCTGTTTGTTGTCAATTTTAATGCTAGAATTATTCCATACTATGTTTTTAACATTTTTTTTAAAATTGTGCTCATGTTGAATGTGAAATCAACACGAAAGAACATCATTCATGAACGAATAATGCGGTTATAAATTATTGATATCCTCTTTTGAAAGATAACATTGGAAGATAAAATCATTTCCGTATTGCTTTATCTTACGTGTTGTAAAAAGTTCCATGAACCCTCATTTTCTTTGTTTATATACCCTTTTACCTAGCTTGCTTTTAGTGCATTAAGATAATAAGTAATGTCTATCATTTTTAGCCAACCATTCTTGATGTTAAATTTCAAAGTTTTGCGTTTGATTTTTTCTGATTTTTCATGCCCATAGAAAATGAAACATCGTTCTAGTTATTTCTTTCATCTTATGGATGGGTTTGCTAATAATGAAAAGGGGTATATTAATTTTGGCAATGCAAAAGTTTTTATCACTATTACTGTCCATCATAGTGAACTTTCTGTGTTGCCACTACTTTAAGCAATTGAAAAAATCTTGAAGTTTAGGTTCTAGATTTATGTTTGTATTTTTCTTGTAACCTGTCGAAAATAAAAAACCTTAAGGTTTTGCTGAATCAGATGTCCACTTGAATTTTCTATTTTTATAATATTCTATGTTACTATTTTCAAATGACCCGACTCGTAATATTGTTGATTTTTTGGAATTAAGGTTGAAACCACAAATTTTACTAAATTCTGTTATCACATAGACAAGTTTTTCGAAAGACTTAACTGAACCACTGTTTACGAAATTTTCATAATCTGCAAAGAAGAATTGTTTTATTTCTTTGTGCTCGACTTTAATTCCTTTTATTTCACTATCTTTTTTCTATGTAATTTGATAAAATTTCTATACATACAATAGATAATGATGATGATAAAGGGCATCCTTGCCGAACACCCTTTTATATAGTAAAAGGTTCTGGGAAATGACCGTTATAAACAATAATACTTGAAGTATCAGTGTTAAAAAGTTTGACCCATTGCATAAAATCTTTACCAAAATTGAGGAGAATACTTAGCATTTTCAAAATAATTGAAAATCTTATGCAATGTTGTTACCCATTATACATGAACACGGAAGTAAATAGTTGTTTTGGCCGAATTTATAATTTATTACTTTAACAAAAAGTGATAAAAAACCTTGGAATTACCCCTAAATCGCAAAATTTTGGTGAAAAAAATTTTGTTTTGTGGCATTCTTTAATTGTTCTATTAAACTGGTACAGAAATAATATAAATCTAGACAGTATTTACTTATATAAGTTCATAGTGGTTTGATGTTAAGGTTTATTCAATTGTTTACATAATAAAATTGCATCCCTTTTACGTCAACAAAACGGACATGATTCCTTTAACGGGGCAATATTTTATTTGGTGGAAAACCATAGATGGCAAGAAGAATTAACATTAGTTAAAGCATCATTACGTTAATAGTGATCTAGGTTGAACGAAACTTAATATCAAACCTGATAAATTTACATAAAGGTTGAACTGAATATTTTGAAGTGTAAGTACGTAAAATCGTCGGCATTTTCCGGTTCAATAATTTTTGTCAAAGTAGAGGCCCCTAAGTTTTTTACTTTTGTTTTTTTCTTAGTTTGGCCTGATTACTTCTTTCAAACTTTCAATGGAAATTAAATGAAACTTTACAAGATTGAGAAGTACCTTAAGATGTTGCGCATATTAAATGGGTTTTCCGGTTAGAAGAATTTGATCATTTTATAAAGGGGTATATTTAGGTTATATTTGTATATCAGGTGTCGAACGCTCTTTAGCCAAAAGGAATACATGTGTTTGAGGATTAATAAAGTATAGGAATTATTTTCAACAGTGTTTGAGATATTTAATTTAGTGCTCATTAGATATTTCCAGGATCAAATCACAGATTTTGTAGAATATATTTCTGACTTTTCTTTCTTGTTACGCTTGGCTCGTAGCATTTGCTTCATTAACACATTGATGATAGTTCTTTAAAATATTGTATAATTCATGACATTCTATGAAAATAACCTGTGCATCATATGTAACAACCTTATATAAAATATGTTTATGGCATCTATCTCTTCTACGACATTGTTTGATCTAGCAAGTATGCATTTTTATTGTAAATTTCAGTATTATTGGCAGGATATCTAAAATAATAAATAATAAAGACCAGGTTCAATGAAACCAAATCCGCACTTGTCACTTATCTAATTTGTACAAATCCTTGCATTACCAACAAGCTATGAATTATACGTTTGATAATTTTCAACGATCTGTTATCATTCAAATTGAAAAATATGAATTGTTAAAACTGCATTCATACAAAATTAAAATAACCGTTAACAATAGGATTTCCGTTTACATGGCTATGTACTTTTTTAACTGATTTATTGCCAAGGTTGCCAAACTCCTCCATGCAAAGCCGGGTCAGCATTTTTATCAATGTTCGGAAATTTAGATGGAATCATTCCTTTTGCGTAAATCTCTAGTCTTTGCAGCATTTTCTCCACTATATTTGGAAATTGTTCAAACACATTGTCTTCTTCTAGTGGATCGTTTTCGATATTATACAAGGAAACGTTTGACGTAGAGACACTGATACCCTTTAAACCTAAAGTCAAAAATATAATCATTTTCATTTTATGTCTTTCAGTTTTGTATTTTTACAGATTGCTGTTAATGCAAGCACGAACATAAATAGTAGATATTCTACTTATCGTCAAACCAATACATCAAAATTGTTGTGTTAGCATTTAATGCTCTTTTGGTTAGGAGAACTGTTCGAAATTGTCGCTAACAAAATGTATTCAAGCTAAACTGAAACAATCTGTCTTGATTTCAATATTCACTTTTCTGATAGTGACCATAATGGTCATGATGTCGACGACGATTTTTTATAAGATAAAGAAAAAAAAATTAATTATGATAATTATTAGGGAGGGGTGGTGCTTCCTAAAAATATGGTTATTATCCGAAATATTATGATGTACAGACAAAAATGCACAATCTTTTGGTACAGTATATAAATGTGTTTTTAACGAAAGTTACAAAAAGATCATACTTAATAAAATAAGAATATTACTCAATCAAATCATCATCATCTTTCTGAGAAGACCTACGCATAGGATCATTAAAGACAAACAATAAATAAAATATAGAAAATTAATGATCTTGTTATAGAACACTCTTTGTAAAACCTTTTATAAGAGGCTGTTAAGAAATGAAAAATAAGAATATACAGGTTTTACGATTCAAACAGTGTATTTTAATAGCTATTTGAAAGCTTAAAATCGTTAATTTGTAGAAGCCTATGAAGCCTGGTGTGTGCTGCGGGATTTTAGCAATATAAAAGGCTTTTCCAAATATATATACAGTTACTTATGTTTTCTATAAAGCTATGTTAGAAGCGTTAAATTTGTTTTTATTTTCATAATAAAAAGTTATTGCCAGTGCCATATAATCATATATTAGTGTTTTACTGACATACAACAATATTTCCCAAATGATTTACTATTTGTTTTTTTAATCTTAATTTATATCTTTTATTTTTTTAATTATTTATTGACGAGACTCATATATATGAAGATTGACCTTCACATCAAATAAAATTACATGTACCTGTTTGTCCTATTATAATTTTCCACGCACCCGTTCCCAAGGAAAATCTCCTTCTCTGATGAGTTG